GTCGAGTTTGTCTCGGAGTAGGCGGAGCGTGGCGAGTGGTTCTGCGTGGCGTTGGGCGACGGCTCGCGGGACTCGAACGAGAAATTTCGCGCATGCTGGTGCGGCGTCGACGGCACCGAGCTGGCCTGTGTCATGGGTGCCTTGCCGTGCGGGCGGGGCGACTTGGAGTGCCGTTGATGGTGGATGCCGTGTTGCTGTTGCTGCTGATGTCGTGACGACGTAGAAGCAGCGACGGGTCGCGACGCGGAGGGCGCGGAAAGAAGATCGGGAGATCCGGACTGCTGCGTAAGTGCAGATTGAGCGGATTGAGCGGATTGAGCGGATTGCGCAGGTGGCTTTGGCAGACTTGACGCATTTGCCGCACTTGAACTTGACGGATTTGATGTCGCCGACTGCTGCTGCTGCTGCTTTGACGCAAAGCCTTTTTGCGTCGGGTCTTTCCCCATTTTGGTTACCGGGCGGTCCAACTTGTCGGCGGGTTTATTGACCTTGCTCCCATGGCAATTCTGATTGGATTGTGTTTGTGGTGGCGACTGTGCCGTCTGGTGCTGGTGAGATTGTGCCTGCTGCTGCTGCGACTGGGAGTGGGAGTGAGCGTGGGCGTGGGTGTGGGCGTGATTGTTGTGGTTATGTGCGTGGTTATGGGCGTGGTTATGAGAGTGGTTGCTGCTGTTGTTGTGGTGAGATTTGGACGATGACCGCGATCGTGGCGCTGAGGCCTGCACAAAAGGGGCGGACAAGACGGGCGGGAGCGGCTGCGTTTGCAAGCCCACGCCACCACCACGACTTGGCGAGATCAGCCGGTTGTAGTTGAGCAGCTGGGCCTGGTAGATGGACGGATGCTGCGGGAAGAGAATGGGAATGAGGTCCAGCGGCGCTGCGGCGGTGATGGGCGTGTTGGCTGTCACGGAGGGCGCCGTGGAGACAGCTCTTGGCGTCGACGGAATCGCAGCACCGCCAACAGCAGCAGCAGCAGCAGCAGCAGCAGGCGAGACAGGGGTCTCGGGGAGGGGAATACTCGCCGGCAGACGGGGGGTGGACGCCGAGGGCGAGAGATGGGCGGAGGAGGCAAAGGCCGATTGGGGGGTGGTGTGTTTCGATTCTGCCGTGGTTGGCCGACTGTCCATGGAAGGCGATATGGCCGCGGCGGTGCGGGTCCCTGGAGGCACCGGGACGGAGGCGACAAGCGTGGATGTAGCCGTGGACGTAGTCGTGGCCGTGCCGGGGGCAAGAAAGCAGAAGGAACCGTGCGCACTGCTACGCGCGGCGTCGGTATACGTATCAAAAGGCGACAGCGGTCCGAAGGGCACAGATGCTCAAGAGGCGATCCGTACGAGGGGAGTAGGGGGGAGGGAGGAGGGCGTTGCGTTGGCGTGCCAGAAGCCGGACGACGGCAGACGACACAATGTTCGTCGGGAGGGGGGGGGGACGGCGACAGATTGAGGAGGTGGAAAGGGGATTGTCGACAGTCGGGCTGGCGTGGAACGACGGAGGGCAAGTCGGCAACAGAAAGATCGTCGAACGTCGAACGCGGGGAGTGCCCAAAAGGCGAACAAGTTGACCGCGAGAAGGAAGAATGGGGGGAAAAGGGATGACGGCAACAGGTCGAGGAACGGACACAAAGGCGGACGGCCGGCGAGACGACCTTTCGTTGGATCGTTCTTGGAATATTCCAATATTCCAGGGGGGCGAGAAAGAAAGCGCGGGTAAAATGGGAAATGGATGAGCGAGAGAAGGACGAAGCGAAGGCCAAAAACGAAACGGTAAAGAAGGCTCAACGGAATGTTGCTAAGAAAGTCGAATTGTAAGAATGGGGCCACAGAAGGGGATTCAGCTTGCCTTGTCTTGGCCGGGACGTCGAGTGGAAGGGAGAGCCGCGACGACGAGGAGGCGAGACAAAAGCAGATACTGAAGAAGAAAGAAACAAAGTTAATGGCAAGGATAAAGAAAGAAACAAACGTGCGATGCGTCGCTGTGTCTGCGTTACGTGGAGAAACTGGGCGTGGTCGACACGAAGACTGCAGGACTCCTGAGAGGCAGAGGGTGTTCAAAGGGAACGCAGGAACACCAAGCGTGCGGCGTGGAAGACGGCAAAAAGAGTGCCAGCGAGTGCCAGCGGCGTGATGGTCGGGAGCCAAAGGATGCCGAAGAAGGGCTAACTGGGGCGTGGACGAGGGCCCAGTGTCGCCATAGAATGCTGTTTGCGTACAGAATAGATGGACGCGCTGTGGTAGAGTGGTGGCTCTCTTTGTGGTTCCGTGGCCTGGCCTATGCGCCTGTGGGGCCAAGGGTCGCAGCGAACGTTCGGTGGGAGAAGCGCGCGAGTGGGAAAAGGGGCAGAGTGGAGGGACTGGAAGTGTTCGAAAAGCCGTCCCTGACAGACCCTAAAACATGAGTAGGCTCTGCCGAGGGGCCGCTGATCCAGGGCTGTTAGGGGGGTGGGCGGTGTTGGACGTATTAGGGATGGGGGAATGAGACAGTAAGAGGCGAAAGTGGAGGGTTAACGGGTCGAGTGACAAAAGCAGCAATTGAAGGTGAGAGAAAAGACGAAGCAGCGGAGAGCAATCGACCACGATGCGATGCCCGTTTCTAGGGACGACAGCACATTAGGCAATTGCAAAATCTGTCCAAACTAGGTAGGAAGTCAGACACAGCAACAGGCAATCGTGAGGCAGCATGTTGTCGAGAACGAGAACCAAATAGAGAAGCTGCGACCCGAGCACTCAAACGGGCGATGCGGATTGGGTTTAGGCTCTACAGTGCTCTGAACCACAACTACTCCCCTGTAATACTACCCCGTATTTCTAGCACGGTTCTGGCTTTTATGGGTTCGCTTCTGTGGAGCAGTGCCCTATAAATTTCTCTTTGGGCTGTGTGGCGACGTCCTGTACAGTGCGCAGGACGTGCGAACACGCCACTGAACGGCCAGTTGGACAGTGTGGATTTTTTTTAGCGCAGCTGATGCCCGAACAACAAACGAGACAGCGACAGGCTCTAGTAGAGTCGTTTGGCACCTGCCGTGTCGATGGCTCCGAACAAGCTGTTTTATGGCCGGTGACCTCAGTTATTGCAGAACCAAATACGTTGCTGAATAGAGCACAAGACAAGTGGTCGATGGATACGAGCATCTTGCCTAGGGTAGGTCTGTCTTTGTCTGGCCAAGCATTTCTTCGTGTGAGAGCCGCTCGTAACACAGCCTCGCACCAAGGCACGGAATACAACAATACGACGTCTGGGGCATTGAGAGAATTAGATCGCGAAGTACGATACGATGTTCGATGTACGACGCACGCCGTACTATCATCAAAATATGAGTGTCCAGCGTCGAGCGTGACCACTACTCAGAAGACGAGCGGCAGCTGCTGAGCGCGTCTGACCTCGGTGACCACAGCAGATCGACAGTACCAGAAGCCCCCCCAGAGAGTCGCAGCCTCGGACACGAGCTGACAAGCTGACCGTCCTAACACGCGGAAGAGGGCTGACTGGATATATAAATGTATCTTACACGCACCAAAACTGGGGAGCATCCCTTTGCCGTCGTACTCGTCAGGCGTTTTCGAGATCGAAAGTAGAAAGGCCGAGACAGCGTCACGTTTGCCAGCGGCCTCCGTTGCAACCTAAGAACAAACAGCAAAGAGCAAACGGCAAACAGCAAACAGACAAGGCAGTGAGTGACAGAACGAAGTGAGCACGGGAAGGTAGTGGACACCGACACCGTGTACGACATACGAAGAGTGTTTGCTGTGGAATACGGGAGTACGTTGTGTAATTGTCTAAGCTGTTCCGAGGACACGGCACTGTGTTGGACGAGCAGAACACAGAGAAATAAGTCGTACTGTACGAATATACAGTATTGACCAAGGAACGCACTGTCAGATTATCCTACTGTGACAAGCTGGAACGGCGCGGCGACACAACTGGTGCTCTGAGTCCCCGTTTGAGTCAGAGGCTGCGGCAACATGTCACAGGCGCGGGAACGGCTGAAAACGCAACGGGTATTGCCTGACTGCCAAGTGGAAGAATGAGGCAAACGCAGACACATCAGCTGTGCCTCCTGAACGACGTCCTGGTCCTGTTTTGATCCAGTTTCCGGGTGTCGTCACACAGCATGTCTCTAATTACCGCCCTGCGAATATTATATCAAAACTGACCATCCCTAGGTATGCGAACTGGCTGCTGTGAATGGCGCGCTCATGAAGCGATACGTGGGGAATACACAGGTTTTCTGTTTTCCATGTTGGGAAGTGAAATACGGGCATTGGCCAAGCTGATAATCGATATCATGCGATGTGCCATTTTGGTCTGGAACGCGAGGAATGGCCACTGGGCAATGGGCACCTACGCCCTAGCGCCACATGTTGTGTGGAGAGTGTATGACTTACCAAACGCCATTTTAGTGGGTAGCTTTAAATGGGTTAATTTGACAAGGCCGCGCGCTCGGCAAACACGCGCGAAGACGGTGGAATCAACATACACTTTACAAAGGCCGGGAAAGTAAAGGAAATGAGAAAGAGCGGAAGGTGCTCGAACAGGCGGGCAGGCGCGCAGGCACGAGCAGTCGTAAATGCGGACGAACTAGGAAAGAGCCTGGCGTCAAGCATGGTAAACAAAAGGAAGGGCCAAAGTACGCAGTTATAATATTCCTTATACAACTGAATCACGTAAATCCTTTTGTTACAAAGGCACTTCCCGGTGGGTAGGTGGCTCTGCTAGTTGATCAGGCTAGTGGAGTTGATGTTCTGGATAAGACAGAGAGAAGGTGTAACGGTCGAACAATAGGTCAAACACGTAATAATGGGGTGGTGATTGTATACAGTGATGGCACAGGAAAACAGGTTCATGTAGGTTTGTATTTCAGACAATCGGTAACGACTAAGTCTTCCACCCCAAGGGGAGGAGTCCTCAGTCCCACATATAGCTATCGTAGTTCATTCGTGTTTCATTCTGTATTTCATGTCCTGAATGAAATAAGGGGCCTTATTTCATTCCTCTTTCATACATCATAACGATGGTGGAGAAAGACTTTCACCCCGTCCACTCGCCCCGTCCACGCAACTCTGCTTGACAACCTTGGGCGAAACAGTCGTTAGCGGCGTGACAGAACGGCCCATCAGGTACTCTCCGCCCAGAACAGCCATCAAGACGCCGTACAACCCCCGCATGGGCCAGACTGCCCAGAAAAGGGCCAGCAGCCAGCCCAGGAGCCCATCACCGCCCGTTCGGGGTTTCTCCACGACCTTGACCTTGTCATAGACCGTAGGCAGCCACTCGGCACCGTACTTGGCCCGGACACGATCGTAGGACGCGCGGTCATAGTGGGCCCAGAACTCTTCCTCGGTATAGTAGGCGTGTGCATAAAGCCACTTCCTGCCACCGAGTTGCTGCACTTTTTGTTCCAGCAACCGATTGGCCTTTATGAATGCGGCACGGTCCGACAAGCCCGAGGGCAGCGGGCCCCACAGGCCAAAATTCATCAAGCGGCCTTCCGACGTGCTGCCATCGAGCTGGGCAAAGTCCGAGTGCAGGCCGTGCCCGGCGTTGGGCGAGTTGCGTGCTAGCAACAGGGGGCACAACCAGAGCGGATAGATGTGAAACGCCGTCTCCAGCCAGTCGACAAATTCATCCATCTTCTCGTAGGGCACGCCCACGTCCTGCACCATGTAGAAATCAGCCAGTCCGCTCTGGTGCAGGGCACGGTACATGGTGCGTGTGTGCAAGAACGGATTGAGCACAAAGCGCGTGATACGGTTGAAGGGTACGAGGAAGTAGTCGAACGAGTACTTGGCCACCCAGAAGCCACCACGGTCGTAGCGGAAGAGGTAGTCAACCAACGGGACGTACTCGGTAAACGTCGTGCCCGGCGGGACCGCGGTAAATTTCTTGAGCATGCGGCGGACGTGTACGTAGAACCACGGATCGCTGCTACGGATAAACCGGGCGACCTTGCCGCCCGCCGGCACGTTTGCTGTAAAGATACCGGAGCACACGACCGTCGCCGTTTTAGAGAACATAATACCATCGATATAATCCACAACGTCCCTTTCTATTATAATATCACAAGGGTTAGTTCGAATGAGTGTACGAATAGGTGGATATATTCTTGTAACGGAAACTCACCAACCTCCTCCTCTAGTTGTTTTCTCGATCCTTGCACAGTGTCTTGCAATGTGTAGGTCAGCCTTACGAACGGTTGGGCGTCTTGTAGCTGCACTTCGAGCAGCGTGACCACGCCCAGCGTGCCGAATGCCGACGCGGCGCCCCAGAAGAGATCCGTGTTCTCGTCTGTCGTGCGCGAGGCCTTGACCACCTCGCCGCTGGCCAACACAATCTCGATCCAGTTGACTGTGGCGTCAAACGGGCCGTGGCGAAACGAAGAGCTCTCGCCGGAAGTGCCGGAGAAGCCGCCGCCGGCCGTAATGCCCGGGAACTCCATGACGACGAGGGGCACAAGGCCGTGGGCCACTGTGGCAGCCACGAGTGCATCCATGGGCACATTGGGCTCGACCAGCGCTGTCTTGGACATCGTGTCGATGCGTAGCACGCGGTTGAGGGCGCTGGTGTCCACCGTGTTGTCCAGCCGCCGTTGCGAGTTGCGCGTGCTGTTCGTCGCGCCGTGGTAGATGCGAAACGGCTGCTTACGGGCTGCAAACTGCTTCACGCGCGCCGCAATGGGCCACACTTTGTCTGCGTGCGCATCCATCTCGGCCATGTTGTTGCAAGTGAAGAGACGAAAGATTTGGCGATGCTTTTCTTTTCTTTTTTTTTTTTTTTTTTTTTTTTTTGGCTTTGCTGCGGTGGTGCGTTTCTGCGAATTCAACACCGCCGTAATGTGTTGAATGGCCGTTTGCGGGGCGCTAAAAGGTGCTAAAACGGCGGACCGCTGTGACTGGGGGAGGCCAGGGGGCCATCTCCACAGGGGATATGGAGTTCTTGACGTTCGGGAGCTGACCCTTACGCACGGAGCACGGAGCAGTCCGTTCGGTACAGGTTCGGTCCCTGCATGCGACGTACAGCGTCCCGACTACGAATGACAGGATTTACTTCATTGAAAGCCAACTGCGGGCAACCCTAGGTCCAACAACTGTTGACGGGAGATTTGCATTGGCAGCCAGAAGCAAAGAGCAGATCGCAGCATAATTTACACATAAATTTTGGGCAGATCCTCTCGACAATATATCACTCTGCGCCCTCTCCGAAGGCAAACGACGCGGCAACGGCCCAATGCGTTCTGCAGATTGGAGCAAATGATAAAGGACGAGAGGAACTATGAGGACTAACGAAGTATCGACACCGGAAACCTGGCAAAGAAACTAGAAAAAGTGAGTGGGTTCTTCGAATGTATGCGTATTCCACGAACAGGAAATCCTTCCTTTAAAAAGGTTGATGCTGAGCGCCGCAAATCCAAAGGAGAGCGAGAAACCCCTGCATGAAAAATTCAGAGTGATGTGCCCACGCTTACGAACCGCGCTCAGCCTTCATTTGACAAATTGTGGCAGACGGCATAACTAGAGAACCCCATCATCAACTTTTATTTTTTTTTTAATTTAATTTTGAATCTTATTCCCCTGCCTAATTATCCCCGGTGAGTTCACTTTACTGTGCCGTGCACCGCCTCGCCGTCTTTTTGTCTTGGCCAGTCCTTTGCCACGTACCTTTCGGTCAGCAGTCCCCTGGACGGGCCGCATGCCACTGCAGATATGGGCCTGTGTCTCTCTGCTATCTTCCATCCTTTGTGTAGATTACCGCGTCCTATTCCCCTTGCACAGCCATCGACCATCCTGTCACATAGTATCGCAATCTTGCATAGACTCAACGCACCCAAAACGGTACGTGGGCGCTGTACGCTGTGCGTTGTACGCAGTATTACGTCGTGCGCGTACTCTCACTCTGCATGCGCTGTGTCGTAAATCTACCTACGTCATCATCTCTTGCTGGGAGCACACGAGGCAACGTAGGAGCGGCGGGACGAGACGGCAATACATTCATACCATTGCGGTGTTTATGTACATCTCCTCGCAGTTCGGTGCTCGAGGTGACGCTATGAGAGAAAGCTGAGCCGTCGGTCGTCGCGATCGGTTTTGCTTGTTGACAAGACGAAACGTTTTGTGCATTCGAGCATCGATGTCGTCTGGTGTGAATATCCTGCATGTTTATGTAAGATACCAGTGGCCTCTTTACAAGACGTCGTAAAGATTGTATATATCAGCCAATGTCATGATCCTTCGACATCGAATGGCCTGAGCATCTGATCATGACAAAAAGTTTACTTCGTCTTTTTTTCTGTCTCCGTTTTTGATAAATATATATGTCAAGCGGTTTATTAGACATAAGTTCCTCCTATGGGTGTTTGCTTTTTCCTTGCTTTGGCAATGCCCAGTCTGGCGGGAAAAGAAAAGAAAATAACAGATAGACAACTGTTGGTTCCTACTGCACAGGGGACCAAAGCCAAGCTTTTGATGATCGGCAGCCACACGCAAGGGAAAAACACAAAAGCCACTACCGCTAACCACCCACAACCAACCCCTGTCCCCTGCGTTTCTCCCGATCGACGTGGTTGCGAGAAAGCTTATTGCCAGTGTCTGAGTGTGAAGCTGAAGGGTGGTGACATGTGGTTCAACGGCCGTTCCGCTGTCTCGTTCCCAAAGCCAAGTTTCAATAGCTTCATGCAAGGGCATCTGTATATTTGACTTTTCTTTCTGGAAACTATAGTTCATGCCACCAGACTGATCGGTATATATGAACAATGTGTACTGTGTATGTAGCGTTTATAATGACATCGATGCTATTCCTCTGTAACTTAGCTTTATCAGGTTTAACGTCTGCAATACAGCACAGGCTATTCAACCGCGGCATCACGTCACCCAAGAAGCTGTGCCTTGGGACTATGTGCGTGCTTAGTCTTCACGGCTGGTGATTCTAGACTGAAATCTGAAATCATCTATTTGCATTGGCAGGCTATTTACGACATACAGAGTATTACGACGCAATTACCTGGGTAGACTTTTATAGAGCTCATATAGACTGCACAAGCTGGGCCACCCGCCCGTGGCCCGCCATTCCGTCCTCTAGAGAGCGACGTCTCTGTTGACGCCCTGTTCCGGGCAAGCAAGCACGCCTACATTTTACTGTCTATTTATAGGAAGGAATGGCACTCTATGATGCATGTTGCGGTGTTTGTTTTCCCAAAATGAGAACATTATTTGGTCCGTTTCAAGCCAGATGGCATATTCCTCGGTCTCGAATACCAACGGCTGACGCAAAACGGGGTCCATACTACGTACATGTGTGTTCATCTGATGAGTAGGATACAAACGGAGAACGGTGTGGCGTTTGCGAAAATCAGGCATCCGGATAAGTGGAGAGACAAATGGTAAGAAAATAGCAGACATGCTCTGCATGAGAAAATCGAACGAGAGCGACAGGCGCTTCCTTCGCACATCTGAATACCGGACAGCAGAGCGACGCACACTCTACCTGCGTCCCCAGACTCAGGGCTCGCAAAGTTGGCCAATCAGCACTGCGCATCCTTGTGACAGTTACACCCCCCCGTTTCTGGGGTACATCTGCCGCGAAATGATCTTCATCAAATACTACTCACACGTTAAAGGCGACTGACGCGATAAGTGCGATAGACGGTAGCTAGACTGAAGAGAAAACAGAAAGTGGAAAATAGGATGAGTGCTGACCCTGACTCCTGATTGTCCTGTCGATTGTCATTCTTCGAGCTCTGATCTTCTCTGGCGAAAGAGGAAACGAAAGCTTGGCGACCCCTGACGCCGCTCCCGATGCGACGGGATGGGTGCGCGTCTCCATACTGAGACGCTGCGACACTTGTTGTGTCAAGATTTTGGTTTCGTGTTTTTGTGCGGGCAAAGCCCCAACAACGCACTGACAAGGAGCTTTCTCGTGTCTCTCGTCCTCTTTTTGCTGTCCAACTCTTCTGTAAGATCACGATGCCCATTGTTTCTGTGTTTCATCTTTGCACGGATCAGGAGGGGGAAGACGCTACGACGCCTGTGCTTTGTAAACGTTTGCCGATGTCATAAAAGAAGCCTGTTCCCCTCATGTCTATTCATTCCACCTGTATGAAAAAGAAACCAACAACGACGAAACAACGAAACGACGAACCGACGAACCGACGAACCGACGAACCGACGAAACAAAGCATTTGACAGCGTCCAACGTACGGCGCATACACCGCCCAACATGTTCTCCTCACTCACCACAAAGCTGGCCATGAAGAAGATGGGCATCTCCAGCGACACATTCAACTTGTCCCTGCCGGACATGAGCGGCGGCGGCGCCGCCGCAGACAGCGACGCCAAGGCGGGCGCCAACAAGCTCAAGAAGACGCGCACAGGCCCGCTGCCGCCAGGCACGGTACCCGGCCTTGACGACGACGACCTGGACGGCAATGGCCGAGGCGGCGGCTCCAGCGGCGGCAAACAGTGGCCCGCATGGATGTCCGTCAAGGCGCTGCCGCTGACCGTGCAGCCGTGGCTGACGCCGCCGCCGGCACCCATCCCGGTGGCCACCGCTTGCCCGAAAAAGGGCGACGCCGCGCCGCTGGACCGTGATCGGAAGCTGACGGTCGGCGGCGGTGCCAAGCCCGTCGTGGTGGTGTTTCTCCGCTGTGTGGGGTGTGCTTGTAAGTGGCCAGTTGAGTCCGAATGGCCATTGTGCCACTATGCCACTATGCCACTGTTCCACTGTACTTTGCTAATCGTTGTGACCCGTTGCAGTCGCCCAGAAAACATTCCTCAACCTGCGCACGCTGGCCAACCGCTACGCCGGCCAGCTGACCTGCATCGCCGTCTCGCACTCGTCCCTTGCCGCCACGCAAAAGTGGCTCGACCTTCTGGGCGGCGCCTGGAATGTGCAGGTTGTCATCGACGAGGACCGTGCTGTCTACGCAGCATGGGGTCTCGGACTGGGGTCGGTATGGTACGTGCTGAACCCGAGCACGCAGATCCAGGGCTGGAAGGAGACCGGGTGGCTCGGCCAGACAGTGGCAGGCTACATGGAAAAGCGGCAGCCAGGCAAGAGTGGTGGAGCTGGTGCTGGCGCTGGTGCCGACAAGAAGAACGGCGGTGCAAGCGAAGCAGCGCCGCCGCCATTGGCAGGGACCGGCGGCTCGGGTGTGGTAGACGCCGTGTCAGACGGTCCTGCCACCATCATGGGAAACAAGTGGCAGCAGGCCGGCGCCTTTGCCGTCAACAGCCGGGGCATCGTCATGTTTGGCCAAAAGGCACTGCGAGCAGACGACGTTCTGGATCTGGACCAGGCCATTGCGTCGCTGGGCCTGTAATGAATCGGATAGCCATGTACGATGACGGGGTGCGTGCTTGCCTTTTAATATTCGAGACGATGTCTGCTGTTCCGGTCTGGTTTTTTGAAATCTGGGTCGGTTGGAGTTCTTTGGCGTTTGTTGTGTACTTTGCTATTCACCCGCGAAATGAAGCTGTGAAGCGTGAGGCTTTGTAAAATCGAAGACCGAGTTTAATATCTGTTCCCAGGACCCTGCTGTGGTTGTAGTAGCATTGAAACCAGGTTCCCAAGCCATTATTCAAACGCCCAAATATTAACGAGAGTAGACTTGGAAAGTTTACCGGAAGATTGTAAGACACCAAGCAGACCAAGACCAAGAAAGCACCAGTGGAACCAAATCCCCTTGTGAAGTCAACAAGCATCAACAAAGGCAACAACATATTGGCCAAAGACCACCAGCTCGCCCCAGTGAATCCCAGGGCCGCCTGTGCCATCAGCCTAGTAGAAAATCCCCATGGTGCCACTCAGTTGCGCCGTCCGTTACCTTTTATCCATGCCCTGAACCTCATACGCTTGGTATAACATCGTCTCACGTCGTTTTGTATTGTTCCTTGCTTTCGTTTCGTTGTTCGACGCCTTGTTGAATATTTCTCCCCATTCCGTTTTGTTCCGTTTTTAAAATATACCGTCCCGAACACATCCCAAGACAACAAATGAAGAAGCAAAACCCGGTGGCCTCAAACCAACAAGACTCAAAGACATGAGAAGGGAACAACCGCAACATCCAATATTACTTGCAAGGCCTTCCTGGGGGTAAGAGCTAAAGTATAAATGATAAAGAACAACCCAAAGCAACTCATTCCAAGAGGAAAACAAAAATTCAAAGTCCCCAATAAAAAAACAACAAATACCACTCGCGAGAGAACCCATGACAACAATGAACAATAAGAAAAATGTAAAATCCAACCACCTTCCGATAAAATATTGCCCTCGTTGCTCCTTTGTGACGTAGAAAACAACAATGAAAATGAAACAAAAGCAAAAGTAAAACAGAGCAGCCTTGGAACCACCAGAGATAATGAAAAGCCACCAAGAAACGACCGGCCCCCCCCCAAAAAAAGTCAAACTGCGCCGACAGACAAAAGGGGGCTGTTGTAAAATAAAACCTAAAGCTCTAAATCCGTTCTTGAGCAAAAAGAAATGCCGTTTAGGTAACTGGAAAAGGGGGGACGCCTCGTGTGTGTTGAAAAACGCAATGAAGGGGAATAATGAAACATCGTTCGACCACTGAAAAGAAAGTTGAACAAGCCAACAACAGCATGCAACACTTAACCCCAGACGCTAGCTTGGACACCCATGCCAGGCTTGCCGCTGTTACCCCAAACGCTGCCGCCACGGCTGCCCCAGCCGGACACACCCATAGAGCCATCCGGCGTGGTGGCCGCCGGGTTGGACGACGTGCCGCTGGCGGGTGCGTTGTCACTGTTGGAGCCGGGCGCCGGGAAGCCGCCGCTGTGGGACTGGGGAGACGCAAGGGGCGTCGTCGAGCGTTTGTTAAGCGACGTGTTAGCGGCGGACGAGCTCGCACTGCCGGACGGGCGGGTGCCGATGGGCGCAACTGCGCTGCCCTGGTTGGCGCCAGAGCCGGGCTTGCCGTTGATGGGCGAGGTACCAGGAGACGAGGTGTTGGTGCGGCTGGCCTGCGATGCCTGCTGCTGCTGCGGGTCGTTTCCACCCATGTTTGGCTGCGGGCTGGCTGTGCTGCTGTTGGCGCGAGATCGCGGGGTGGCACCGATCGAGGGCGAAGCGGTCGTGACGCCGTCCTTGGTGGCTGAGGCATCAGCGGCGGTGCCCGGCGGCTGGGCACGGCCGTACTCGTAGGCGAGCGGCGACGGGCCACGCTGCGAGCCAGGAGGGCCATGGAGCGGACCGGGGACACCGGGGCGCGGGGTGCCCGTCTCATCAATGTAGCCGCCGGTCTCAGCAAAGGAACCCTCTCCGTACAGTGCGCTGCGCTGGCGGGCAATCAATTCGCGGCGTTCGGTCTCAGACATACTGCTGCCGGGGCTAAGGGTGCGGTCAGGCTTATTGCCGAACGACGAGAGATCAGCGAGCATGGCAGCGGAGTCTAAAATGATAATCATGTTAGTCGTATAAGTTCGATTTCAAACACCGTGACGACGGGGTAGCGAGGCTGCATGGTTATGGGGCCGAATAAGGAGGTTGGAAAAACAAAACGACACAGACCAAACGTCCGGATTAGAGAGGAGCGGGGGGGGGAGAGCAAAAAAAAAAAACGGCACTTGCGGTATCTACAAAATATGAAAGGTGTGTTGCATTTGACAAGGAAAAACATCGCTTTCTTCTTGGATCCCCCTTCCCTTCCCCATGTGAAGTGATGCCCAGCTCCTCTCGGCCGTGTAAAATAAAATGACTGCTTTTTTTGACCGAAATGCAGCAAGGCTCTTCCCTGTTCTATGCCATGACCCTGGAATATGTATTTTTACTGTCCCCTGTGCCATATGATTGCAAAACAAAATAAATGCGTGACGTGATGATGTAGAATATAACCAAAACGGTGTACTGGTAGGAGGAAACGATGAAGTGGAAGGGACGGCAAACCGACCGGCTGCAGGGCTTTTGTGTCTTGTGTCGGTTGTGTCTTGGGTGTTGCTTTGTTGTGTTTTGTGTGCATGTGTTGGAGTTAGACGGAAGGGGAAGGCCTACTTCGGTTGTATTGCTGCTCCTGGTGGTAGTTCCGAAGCTCGCGCTCACGCTGGGCAGCCATGCGGCGCTTAGCCTGGATGACCTGCTCGGCCTCGGTTGAGCCGCGTGACGACTGGTGTCTCTGGTTCGCGTAGAAGTTCTGGAGGTTCGACTGGTGCGCGCCACGAGCGTCGCCAAATTCGGCCATCGAGTGAGGACGCGAGTTCATGTGTCCCTGGCGGCCATCTATAGAGGAAAGAGGAGTGTTAGTGGTCAGGCGAAAAGGGCCGGCATAATGTCGCATCGGGAACCTGCAATAAACAGTGCAAGTCGACGAGCATCGGCGAACGGAGCCATCAACGAACGGTGAAGGACAGTGAACCGGGGCAGAATAGCCGAGCTCCCGGGCAAGAGGTGTTCAGGAACTCACCAAAGCCCGGGTGCTTCCTAGCAGGGCCAATGGGGGGAGAATTCCACTCACGTCGACCAGGCACCCCAAACATCTTGCCACTCTTAACCAAGTTGTCAATGGCACGATCCACTTCTATATTACCAGTCAGTCATTTGTCTTTCGTATCCCACTGCTGTATCTTCGCGGTACAAAATCTCGGTGTGTTGGGTTCGGTCCGACATACCCTCGAGCTGATGGTAGAACGGAAGGCCCTCCTGACCCTGCGCCGGTGGCGGAGGTGCCTGGCTCGGGACAGTGGAGCTAGCACCGGAGCGGACAGTCTGGCTGTCAATGTCCAGGTCATTCCATGCGCTCTGGCCAACGGCAGGCCATGGCCGGGAGCCCTCGTAATAGGACATGATTTGTAGTGCGTATAAACGGTGCGAATAAACCGGGATGGGCGTTGCAGCGGGACGGAGAAGGGGAGGGTCTAGGCCGACCCTAGGAGACCTTCGCTAACCGGCTCGTTAACAAGAGGAAGGGAAAGATTCGAAGCAGCAAGGAAGTTCAATAGTGTCGTGTCGTGTTGTGTCGCTTTGCAGCGTCAGATGCCCACGCAGTGAATGCGGCAAGAGAAAGTAGTCTGCCTGTGAAGTTTGGAACTATGTTAACAAAACTGATTCGCGGCCATGTGCAATGAAAAAGACGAAAGCTATTCCCGGGGAAAAAAAATTGGCGCCGGAAAATAGTAGAGTTGCAAAGCGTGGCGAGTTGGCCAGTCCGACAAGGTTAGGGGCAAAAAGGTGTTGCGTTGAATGGATGGAAATCGAGATTCTTGATAGCCGGTAGAGAAAAAGGTCCACTAAGACATAAAAAGTACTGCAGCAAAAAGATGCTACGGTCTCGACCAATGGACGAAACTGGTGTTGGACGAGAGGGATTGCAGCACAGCTGCTCTCAACAGTTCCTTTGTCCTTCTTTTTTCTGGTGTAGGACAAACTGCATTGGGAGATCTTAGGACGGTGTGCAGATAGGTAAGATAGGTAGGTTTGCGACCACGATTGTGGCCATGAAGGTGACTTTTTGGGGTTTTTGGTATGGGAAAGAGGGCCGCGAATGACGCGGGGAAAATGGAAGAAAAGCGCTTGGCGCAAGCTGTACAGGCGAGGGAGAGCGAGGTAGACAGATGAGGCAGGACAGGCCGACCGCGAAGAGGGGGGCGTACGTGTCTACACACATGTGCGCGGCGGGCGCTGCTGGCAGAAGTCGATATTGCAGAGCGTACGTATGCGGTTTTTTGCTGTTCGCGCAAGGAGACGGCTGGCGCCGCAGCGGGAACTGCCACACGGGGTAAAAAAGGGGATATACTCAGACGATGGAGAGTAGATTCGTGGAGAAAAGAAAGGGTTGAGTAATGAGCCCGTTGTCGAGACCTCAGCAGCTGCGGGAAGGTGTCGTCCAGTTGGCCAGCAACGGTTCGAACCGTACGCGGTCGTCGTTGAAATGGGGCCGAGGACAAAAAGGAGGCGACAGCGTTCGAATTGCGGCAGTCGATGTCTTGTCGAAGGGATGGTGTGGCGTGGTCGCCCGTTGACAACTTGGAAAATACCGAGAGAAGGAAAGGGAGGGAGGGCAATGGGGGGGGAGAGGGACGAGACGAGCAAAGTGAGGCGCAAAGGAAACAGAACGGACGACCCGACTCGGGAAAAGGAGGTACACACAAAAGCAGAAAACAGGCGATGCAAGAAGACGTACCCAACAAAGAACACACCGTCAACCGTCGGCGAGGGACGACAGAGTAAAGGGCGAGAAAGAGAAGGAAAGAAAACAACTGCACGCACACACAAAAGAAAGAGACGAGCCAAAAGTCGAGAAAAGGAGGCGACAAGTAAGAGTCGAGTCGTCGAGAGTCGATCGTTCCGAGGAAAATAAGAGTGAGAAGGCTTCCACGAGCACAAGTCGAAGGGAGGAAACGAGAGTCGAGGTCACGTTTTTCTTGAACTTTTCCCGTCTCGTTTCTTTAATTCTAAGCAGCCACAGAAAACACTCCCCGTTCTTTTTTTTCCTTTTCTGTATTAAATTTTGGTCCCTAAAAACCAAGACGGGAGTACGAGTAATTTCGCACGAGGAAATAGTGTCGACCCGTTTTTGTTCGAGATGACGACCGAATTGGGGGGAGTCCCTGTGCCGGTTAGAACTAGCGAGGGGGCCGTCGAAAAGTGAGCGAGCAGGGGTGTGCGGCGCGATTGAAGCACCTGTAGCGAACGCGGGATGGGGTTGCGAACGGTGCACAAGCGATGTTGGCGAGAAACACTCGAGACTGTGTGAAAGTGAGAGAATGCAAACACGAGAAGAGCAAATCCAAAAAAGGGGGGGGAGACAACAGAGTCCGTCGACAGCATACAAAGACCGAGGCAGAAATGGAAGGAACGTGGAGCACAACGAAGCGCAACAGAGAGAAGGAGCAATGGAGGCGGACGGGAGTGGGAAACTACAGATGGGACAAATGCCCCGAAATAGGGGAATTGGAAATGTGCCAAAAACCAATTAAGCATTAAAAAAAGAGTCTAAGCCAAGAATTACCGAGTAAGTGCCTCACTGTTCTCACGAAACTGCCCTGTGTTTGGCGTCTTTTTGGGTCTTCCAGCAACAGCACACGACTGGCAGGTTGTCGTTTAGGTGACCGTTTTCTGGCGGATCAGGGGAACGCCAACGCGACAGCCTGTTGGAAGGCGCGACCATCCGAAAATGGGAAGGGGGGGTTGCCCAACGAAGACACGCACAGTGGCAAGACGAAAAGAGCAGGAGCGCGTAACGAGAGATGCGTAACGAGAGATGTGGGGCAGCGTTGTCGCTGCGCTGTGCTCTCTTTTGCGTATTTCCGTGGACCCGCCAGAGGCGAGACACCAACCCAACCAGCCGGCTCTTTCTTGGGATATTTTTGTACGAAATACAGGCTGTAATTAATGCGCTGGATCGTGTACAGCCGGCTTCCAGGCAAGAACATCCACTGCCAGCCGCAAGTCCTCCCTGGCCATAGGGCTCGTTCGTCTGGAGTTTGGAGTGTGCTCCGGACCGGTTTGCAGAGATTGGGTTCTATTTTGTTTAAATTTACGAGGTAATTGACATTTTGGTTTTACTCCGTGTTGAAAGGAGGGAAAAGGGAATAAGAAGCGGGTCAACGGCAAGCAAAATCAAAGTGGGGAGTTGCGAAGAGGACGAGAGAGATGAGGTGGAGAGAATCGGGAAAGTGGATGCGTCTGAGTGGACGGGCTTTGATGGAAACGGGGAAGAAGTGAGGCAAATTTGGGGCAGCCGCCTCTGCAGGAAGTCTGCGATGGAAGGCTTCGAGATCGTTTGGAAGTATTTTAGAAGAAGCAAAGAACAACTTGGGGAGGTACGAATCGTAAGGACAGGATTTTGTTATTGAATTCACCTACGTTGACTCGCACCTTATATTTCGTATTATACTTGTAACCGTCTTTACTCTGTTCCTCGATACACTTTTGATTCTGTGTAAGATGTGTTTGATTGCCCCTTTCTGCCATTGCAATTTCACTAAACCGGCTGCTGTGTCGACGAATGCTGCACCTTGGTGAGCACGGTCAGAGCCCATGTCAGATGCCATGTGTCTGTTATCACTCCGTCCGAGAGACGGACAGGATGTTGTTGGCAAAGCAGAGGAAGGCGGGTGACGGACGTTGAAAGACGCAAACAGGATCGCCAAATGCAATGGGACATCCTATCCGATTCTTCAAATCTTCAACACCTGCGAGAAACTATTGTTTGAAGTGTCCTCCCCTCCGTCGAAAGCGCTATAATTCGTAGATTTATCAGAATTAAAGGAGTTCGAAACGGAGCCCTTTTAAAATTGGCTCCTTCCCAGAATGGTCTCATAACTGTCGGGAAGGTGAAAAACGGGCCCGGAGATGTGGGACAAGAGAGGAAAGAGGAAACTGCTGGACAGGGAACTGGGAACAGGAACAGGAACAGAAACAGAAACGTCGCATGGCGGGCCCATAACGGGGGTTGCTGGTGTGCTTGGCACGCTGTCGCTCTTTCCTGACAAGCTGCGGAGAGACGTCGCGGATTGTGAGGAAGCCGCGCCTGGACGTCGTAAACACACGATACAATATGACCGACGGCAGCCGCGCGAGGCGCTTGGTAAAGCGGGAGACAGTATGTTGTACGAACGAACATGGTAGATCTTCGTTTAGCAACGAGACACGTCTTCCTTAGTATTCTATCCAAAGCGTGTATGGGTCATCCGACCCTCCTCATGATGCATCATAAAATTGCTCTGGATTTGTGTCGTCTTCATTCATCTCTTCCTGACGGATGCCGACAGCATGGCCACAAACCGTCGGCATATTTTTGAGGTGACGGTGCCTTGAACGCTTTGCGTGGATGCCACGACATGGTGAAGCCTCGGCTGGGACGCAGAAGAGCAGTTATCTTCTCAGGCCAAGGTAGAGTTGTATTTCTGGCGGCCTAGATGACCGTAACAGGAAAGGTATGCCCAAAGCCCGGGCCGGTCACCAAAAGCAGTCGCCAAAAGCAGTAAGATGTCTTACCAACAAGTTGGACACACATCCGCATGCCGCAGGAGGCAAAGGACAGGATCGAATGTGCTGGCTGGCTGGGAGGCGTGCAGCAGTTTGTGAGTGGGAGGCGACACAAACTTGGAGCAAAGGCTGAACTTCTCCGCCGCACTTGGGAAGACGCGCACTGCCCGGCCCGGTCTCTGGCATGGCCCACCGCGGGAGCGGCCCTTTCACGTCTTTCACGTGGTCTGCACAGCATGGGACGGCTTGGAGGTTTGTGTCAACATCCGTCGAGACACTGGGAGTTTGTTTTATTTGCATATTTTACGCCGTACAGGTATGATTTTCTAAATGCAAGGTACATGAGAATCATAAGGAGCATGATATCGATTCACAGCTGCGCCAGTTGACGATTTTTAATCAAGATACATCAATAAACACCGGTTCGGCCCCTCTTGTTCCCCCTCCTCTTCACCCCCACACCATCACACCATCTCTTATTTTTTTTTAATTGGCAGTGGTCTCCAAAGATAGACACTTTCATGCCCACGCGAGAATCAATGGGACGAGTCTAGCTGTATGTCGTACAGTATGTCGTACTTTGATTGCTGTTCATTTTTACTGAAATAAGCTGAACAGAGAAATATATGAGGAAAAGGGTAAAAATAAATTCGACACAAAAAAGAAATCATATCCTTAGTAAAATGTGAAACCATACTGCTACAGTTCTCTCTGCTACCCGTCTTTGCAATCCCTTCACAGCTATCAGACGAACAAGTGACCACGACCTGCGCTGCACCATCACCTTGCACGGTTTTTTTGCAGTTGACCAGCTGCCTGTTCTTCTTCCCGTGTTCTTCCGTTATTCTTGCCTCCCATGTCCCTCTCGGCTGTTTTTCCCCGCGCCCGCGTCTTCCTTCTGTTGCCCAAAACTATTGTCCCACGTCAGATCAAACCGGAGACTTACGATGCCAGTGAAATGTGCCGTTCCTATGAAGTAAGACTGTTTCGTTAACTGTCCAAACTCCAACACCATCGTCACTCAGTTTCCCAGTTGCGGCTCTTCTTTGCCTATTCCTTTCCTTTCGCTTCCAACCCTTTTGTGAACCATAACCAATTGGGAGGGTGAAAATAATGGACAGTATTTGGGAAAGTGATGAGGCGTGAAAAAAGAAATCAAAATATATTCTGTACAATTTGCATTGAAGTTATTTCCTACTATTTCGGTACAATTTTATGTCCTTATAGGTTTCAATTCAACTTTTTATTTTTTTATTTTTTATTTTACATTTCAATTTTTTTTATATTCTCTTTTAAGAAAGGCGATAATTCACAATTAAAATTGGGTATCGAACATTAAACATATAACCACAACAATCCGGTTCAAGGCAGCCGATCAGCCCATCCCGAAGAGGAACGAAGTAGCAGGAACAATTCGCTGGCCACGGATAGGCCCACGACGACCCCTTTTAACAGGGACAACAAAGGAGCCGTAAAAACAGCAAAATACAAGAAAGCGTGCCATTTACAGCCTCGACAGGCTGTGGTAATCGGGCTCGAATGTGGGATCGTCGCCGGCGTCCAGTTGGCCCGGGGGCCGACCAGTCCCATGAGGTGTCCGAACGGCCGGCCGTGGAACCGCAGCACGGTCCGTGTTGACGACGACTTGGTCTTGGCTGCGCACACCACCGGCCCGGGGCCGCACTGTGGGCGTAGCCGCCACATTGGCGTCTGCCACGACGGCCACGTCGAACTGGCCGTGGGTCTCCAAGTACTGCCGCCCCGCGGCGCCCACCGAAAAGATGAACTCTACCGGGCCTAGGAAACCCTGTTCCTGGTCGTCGTCGTCGTCGTCGTCGTCGTAGTCGTTGTTGTTGTCGTTGTTGTTGTCGTTGTTGTCGTCTTTGTCACCGGGCTGCACGTACAGCAGCGCTTCGGCATGCAGCTCTGATTCGGGCATGCTGCGGTACATGTCCGGCCCGCCGCGGGCCATGTCGCGGGCCAAGACGGTGGCATCGCGGTACCGGCGCAGGTGTGGCGCCGTGACGAGGCCGATCTTGGTGTACCACAGCAGCTGCTTCCAGTGCGGATGGGTCCATGCGAGACATTCCATGGTGACGCGGGGGACGCGGCCGGCCGCCAGACGCTCCACGTCGCGCCACGGGATGGACAGGGTGACGACGACCACCGCGCAGACGGGGCCGCCGCGGCGCTTCATGTAGGCGGCGTCGGCCGCAGCGACGGTGTGGTCGGAGCAAAAGTACATCTTCGTTTGATGGTCCTCGTTGTCGAAGCGGACGGTGTGTGTCGTCAGAGGCCCTTCTGCCAGCGCCCGGGCATCGTGCACGTTGCCCCTGAACCCGTTGTGGGACCAATAGCGTGTGATGCCCGCCTGGTCGCGGGCCATGTAGAGCTGCATACGACTGGACTCGCTGCAGATGCGGTCTTCCGCGGCCTGGCGCGTCCAGGTGGTGGCGGCAAACGTCGGCCGGTGGTAGCCCGGGCGGGCGCGGGGAAGGACATCGTCGCTCCGATGTCCATGGGGGGCCATATTCTGTCCGGGGCCCATGGAGTTCCCCGCGGCACGACGCCGGGACACTTCCCCGACATGCTCGAGGGCCCGGTAGCGCATCAAGACGGTCTCGTCGATCCAGTGGTGGCACGACTTGGTGCGGCGCACGCGGGCGTGGTCCGGGTGCATGATGCTCTCCAGGAATTCGCTGGTGTGAGTATAGAACCTGGGGCAATTGCGCCACTCCTCGTCGCTGTGGCGGCCGTCGACGTCTAGACACGGTCCGACGGGATAGTGCGTCAAACGGGTCAAACTAAATGTGAGAAAATTGGGCCGCGGCCGTCCTGGCCCTCCCGTTACTCTGAGTTCCGAGAGCCAGCAACGGTAGATGTATGTGGCAACAGATGGTGCAATGCCGAGATACACCAGCGTTTCCTCCGAGTGAAGCTGGGCGGGGATGCGGACAAAGTCGCCTTCGTCTCGTTCCCGTTCTCGGTTGGTGAAGCGGAGGTCGAATGGCGATGGTGGAAGTGGCCGGTTCTCATACTCTTTGTTGCTGGCCACGCTGAGGCAGCGCACATGGATACGGACCATGTTCGGCTTGTCGGGGTCTTCATAAAAGAGTCCGGCGCGTTCCAACCTGTCGCGGTCGTTATTTGTCACGATGGGGGTACTCTCCTCCATTTTGAGCGCAAGGGGATGCCTGAATGAGGCTGTTTCTGTAAGAGTGTATGTTGAAATAGAAATTTGAGTGTCGAAACGGGAAACGAAAAAAGAAACGAATGTAAACGGAGCAGTGAGAAATTTGACAAGCCAAGAAGAGACAGAGAAAGAAGGGAAAGGGAAAGGGAAAGGGGATGTGGCCTCAAGAATGATCATAGTCATGCCCGGCAACATACAGGGGAACTTTGTGTACTTACTGTGCAGATATTGCTGGATATCTTACACATAACTCGGCCAACACGCACAGTATGAGCATCACGGCATCTTTCACTGGAAAAGATGTACCTTTGGCTGGGTCGAGCGAGCCTTTATACGACAGCACTTGAGCCGGCCGGCCTGATAGACGTCCGTCAGCGATAGACGGGCATCAGATTTGTCGACACAATCTACGATAATGCTTCCAGAACATTTAAAAGAGCTTTCCGTGTTTGTTAACAGTGGCCGCTGGACGATACGTGGGCGACGCATGCTTCAAGGAGTACATCAGAGGCGTGTAAGTCCGGAGCGTAGTCGGCCTAGATGACAGGTCTTAGTGGCGCATGAGGCATGGCCTTAGCAAAGTACTGTTGTTACTTGTTGACAGATTCCCCCGACGACCGTGTGGCAACATGTGCTTCCAGTCTTAGTAAGGCGACGCACAAAATTTGAATGCCTCGTAACATGCAAGTAGTTTTTCAAAGTACACGTATGTGTCTCCCCACAACCATCCTACTCTATCAAAACTGGTATAAGAAAAAGCGTTCTGTCGCACGCTGTGCTCGGGAGCATTTCTGCGCCCGTGCGTACTGCGGATACCACAGAAGCAAACGAAGTAAACCACCCGCCTCCAACAGGCATCTGTGTCAGCCGCCTACGTTCCCCCCGACCCTGCCTCGACTTGTTGGCTTGTTCGCTTCGCCGCCTCCTCTACGCCTCCGGCGGTGTCGCATCGGCGGGGGCCGCGGCCGCCTCCTGCTCAATGGCGTGCGCCTTCTTGGCCGCGTTCAGCGCCTTGAGCTTGGCCGTGCCGAAGCCGGCCACGCCGTCCTCCTGGTTCGCGCCGAGCCACGGCTTCTTGGCGTCGCCGAGCATGCTGCCGCTCAGAAAGTAGACGACCAGGCCGAGGAGAATGAGCACAAAGGCAATCGGGTACAGGTAGTAGATGGTGTACCCAAAGACGTGGATGCCAATGATGACGCCCCAGAAATTGGCTGTCAGCAGGGAAATGTCAAAGAAGGCGGCGCTGCCCATGCGCAGAATCAGCGGCGCGAGCGTGTAGAAGATGGTCAGCGCGAGCGTGTAGCCCACGAGGTAGCCAATGACGGGCCCCGTCCAGTTGGCCTGCTGGATGGACGTGCGGTCAAAGATGGCGGCCTGGACGCCGTTGATGCAGGCCCCGAAGAAGCCCAGGCAGGCCAGCACCTCGTACATGGGCTTGCGGCTGACGAACCACTCCTCAAACACGTTGCTCATGCCGTACAGGCTGGCGCCCAGCAGGCCAAACAGGTCGCCCTTGAGCTTGTCGACGGTGGGGCCGCCGTTGGAGCCCGTGATGTGGTCGGACGCCAGCAGGATGCCCATGCCGCCGCAGGCAATCAGGATGCCGAGGATCTGGAACGGCCGGTAGCGCACGCGCAGCAGCACAAACGAGATGATGACCACGCAGACAATGGACCAGAAGTTGAGCAGCTGCGCGCTCAGGATGTTCGTGTACTCGTAGGCAAGCACGGTAAAGTAGTTGCCCTCGACGTCCAGGAACGACAAGATAAAGTACTTCCACCCGTCGCGGATCAAAATCGTGTGCACAACGTAGCGCCAGCCCTTTTTGTAAAAGGTCAGCGGCACGTAGATGAGGAGCAGCAGGATGTAGTTGAAGAGCGTCTGGAAGGCCGGGATGTTGGTGCCGTTGTTGGACAGGAAGCTCGTGAACGTGTTGGTGGCCGTGATGCACAGCGAGAGCACCTGGCCAATGAGCACCACAATCCAAAAGTCCCACGTCTGCAGGTAGCTGTACCAATGCACCTTCTTGTTCTCGAGTGTCCGGAGACCCTCGCCGACGGCCAGGTCCTGGGCCACGGGCACATCGGGCCCGGCAATCGGGGCGTCGTGGTCGCCATCCGCCTCGACAGGGGCCGTGCTGTTGTTGACCACGCCGTTGTTGTCGGCGCCGGCCTCAAAGGCCTTGTTGTAGCTCTCAACCGTCGACATTCTGCAACAGGTTAGTAGGGGGAGGCACAAAACGTCACCTGGCTGGACAGAAAGACCGACCTGTGGACGAGCGACGTGGAATGTATTTTAGGACGATCGCGTTTCGTTCGTTTTGTTATTTTCGTCTTCGATTCTCTCTCTTCTCTCTCGTGCAAGTCTTTCTGCCGGGGCAGCGAGCGCAAAGACCTTCAAGTCGCTCGCTATGGCCCTAAGCCTGTCGGGATATCGTGTCGTACGTCGTCGAGTTGCGTGCGTAATGCATCGACGGGGCAGTAGCCGCAGATGCGCAAGGAGTGGCGGCAATGGGTGCAGTGAGCATGGGTTTGACGGATTGCGGACAATGGTGGACTGCGCTGTGCTGTGAAAATGTCAAACGTGGGCGCAAACGTGGAGAACGTGGGAGAGTGTGAGTCTGCTGAGGACAAGCTGAAGACAATCTTCTGTCGAGATGATGAAGACGGCGAGGATGAGAGGAGGGGACAACACAAGAGGCAGAACAAAAGTAAAAAATAAAAAAAAAGAGGCCGATAAGGAGCTAGACCGATAAAAGAAGGCCTTTTCCAATTGTCGCGGCAAAGAAGAAAAACGTGTACGGAGCTAAATCATGGCCTCGACCGGGGTCTGTCTACCAATGGCGGGCCGCAATCGTTTGCCGGAAGTCGTCGAGAGGGCTCCGTACCGATATGGTCGAGAAAAAGAACGAAGAAAATTGGCCACGCAAGGCGAATGGCGCGCGGGGCCTGGCCAGTAGCGCGTCCCAAGGCGACAAAGACCCCCACCTGGCACTGCATCTTTGCCCCCATGTGCCAATTTCTATGTGCTAATCGTGGGGAGGGCGAAGTTTTCCAACTCGTCCTCATCAATGGCAACGGGGGATTCAAGTCTCAAGTCCGGTGAGCTGAATGGAGCAGACAGAGAAAGAGGATGGAAAACAGACCGGATTCGAAGGGACGAGGCCGGGCAAAAAGCAAGCGAGGCTTGCTCCGTCGTAGAGAAGAGGACTAAGATGATAACTATAATCCACCGACCGGGGTGAATGTTCGCTTTCCGTCTGGGCGCCTGGGCAAGGCACGTTCCGCTCTTTCAGGTGCCGCGTTCGGCTGTCGCCTTTCCGTCTGCTGGGCAAACCTTATTCTCGCGATGAATATTTGCGGCCTATCAGGACGCCGCCGAAAGCAAAAGACAAATACGAAATAAGCCATCCAAATAAAAGTCAAACAATGAAATAGCAGTTTGCTCTTGGCCATCAGACATCCGCTGTAAGACCTTTTCTAAAACCAAAGAGAACATCCGAAACCGCAAATCCAAAACTGGCTCCCCAGGATACCATTGTGCCGTCTGTTCGTAGTCCTGTTGCCCCCAAAATGTCCCCTAATCTAATGATACAGTGCAAGACAACCATCTAAAAATAATATACAAAACCAGAGACCAAGGAAAAAGAACAGCGGGGAAAAAGGACGGTTAGACGCCATGGCGGCGTCATCTCATATCATACAATACAACTCGTACAAACGGAGCCGCCTCGCCTAAATAAACGTTGTCCCGAAACTGTCAACTTTGTCCGTCGGCGTGTGCCGGTCAAAGGTCAGGTGGCCCAGGGGCAGCTTCGGCGGACCCTCACCCTTGATGGCGCTGGCGCCGTTGCCGACGCCGCCACCGACGCCAATGATGCGTTCATGCAGCGCGTCGCCGTCCACGTTGTTGAGGTGGCTGGCAATATTCCAGCGCTTGTTGCCCTTGGGCGACGACAGCGGGTCGTCCGTGGACAGGGTCGAGGGCCCACGCGCTACACCGATGGGGCCGGGCGGCAGTGGTCCCAGGCCGTCCTCGTCCTCGTCCTTGTCCTTTTCGTTGTCTTCGCCCGTTTGATCCTTTTCGTCCGGCCGCAGGTGGTTGTTGCTTTCGTTTTCGTTGACACCGCCGGTGGTATCGTCACCGCCCCAGCTGTACCGACTCTCCGGACTGGCGACCTGCTTGGCGAGGGGATCATCGTTGTGCTTGTCCTCGACAGCTGCCGGTGTTTCAGGGTACGCGCCGACCATCCGCTTCTCGGGCGTTGTGTTCACCGCAGCCGCCGGGGTTTGGGGGACATCCTTGGGCGGCACCGCGGGCGGCACGTCGGGTGGCACGTCGGGTGGCATTTCGACGGAAGTGCTGGTTGCAGCGGGTTCGGGCTCAGGATTAGGAACAAGCTTCTGCTGGGGCGCCTTTTCGAGGGAGTCAAGACGGTTGGGGCGCACCCACGGCGCATCGGTCGGAAGGTTCTGCAAGCTGTCGGCGCCGTCAAACGCGTATGGTCCAAGGCCAATATCACGCGCATACACGCTGGCAGTGAATGCCGACTTGGACGTGGTCGGCGAGGCCTTGACGTCTGGGAATAGCTCGTCCTCATCCCGCTCTGCATCGTCGTCGTCGCCATGGTTGCTCACAGAGTTTGGCGTCGCAGGCGTGACGGGCGTCGCTGGCGTGGTGATTGTGGATTCGGCGGCTACGGGAGCCTCGACAACCTGCTCAACAATATTTTCGGGAGCTTTTTCGGGAGCATCCTTAGCTGCGTCCTCAGGGGCACCCTGAGGGGCATCCTCGGCGGTTTCGTCAGGTGGCAGCACGAAAACAGAAGGCAGAGGCCAGTTCGCTGTTGGTGACGGCTCCGGATCCCCAGCTGGCAGAGAAATAGGCGAGAGTGGCGGCTCCGAGTCGAGGCTGGGGCGTTGGACTTCGGTCTGAACGACCTTGTTGTTGTCTTCCTGGTTCTGTCGGGTCTCCTGGATCTT